GAAAGACCCCAGAAATGAGCCAGCATCCGTTTTGGTTGAGATGGACGACTGTAGGTTATGGCCAATAGGTAATGGTTAGAAAAGAACCACCCTGAAACCCACTTTCTCATATCCAAATGCATTATCACAGTCTAGAAAGTCTATTTCTTGTGTGAAATTATTTCTGGGAAGACCTGTGGGTCTGTATAAAATTTACTGAAGCTATAAATGCTGAAAGCCCAAGCTTTTGGAAATGGCCCAGTCTTGACTATACAGGCAAGGGCTGGATAACCAAAAGGAAAATACTGAGTGATGTCAGATTGCAAAAGAGATGATCAGAATGTTACATCATCTTTCTGTTGGCACAAACCTAAGTACTGCTTTTTTACACCAGTACAGATGAGGAAAAAAACCCTCATATATTCAGGCTATTCGTTTGTGACTCTTTTGGGGATCATTTTTATCTGTCACCTTTCTACACTTTGGCATGTTGCACTAAGTAGAACGGAAAAACATAAAGTGCAAACACAGAGTCTGGGGAAGTACTGTGGAAGTCAGTGGTACATAACGAGAACTCCTGCTGTGAAGGGTTCTCTTACTGAAACAACACCGGCTCTAAAATGATGCAATCCACTCTTACTAAACAAGTACATTATAAATCCCTCACTATGTTGTGTTCCCTCTGTTACTCACTCTTGAACCAATTTTTATAGCCCCTTGGTTTGCTGCTCCATTGTAACCTTTCTGAATCTAACCAATCTGAACAAAACCAATGATTATATGAGAGGATTACAATGGTGCTTGTACAACACTGAATTCCAATCATAAAATTGGGGTCCCTACGTCGTATGGGGCCCAATGTTAAAGCCATATCAGAATGAGAATATTTTATCCAGAGACAGTCTTGTTATCCATGGTTAAATCAACCTAATCAACGAATTGAAGAACACATCTTAGGTCTTTGATGTGCGAGAAAAAAGATTTTACATGCAGCCTCATCTGCTTTTGGCAGTCACAGTTATTTGCAGCATCTCAGCTGTTGGCTGCTATGAGTTCCACTACAGTATTCACATCAGGAATAAAAAGCTAGGGTTTAATTCAGAATAGAGACAATTCCAAAGCTTTCACTAGCATTTTTCCACCACTTCCTCACCTGGATAAGGTCCTCTTATCAGATACCAAAGTCCACTGAAGATAAGGGTAGAAAAAGAAATTGTTCGCTAGGAAGCTTTCGAGCTTTTCATATTTTTTTTCTTTTAATATTGTAAGATTTGAAATGGGTAGGGGTAGCCAATGAATCCTCTGGGAATTATTCTGCCTGGAATATAAACGGGAGAACAGTTTCTAGAGGAATCAAAGTAAAGATTCGTCTGAGAGAAGGTGAGTTTAAACTAAAGCATAGTTTGAGTTTCTAGAGGAAATCTAGAAGTTTTCAGTATTTCACATTTTTTATGAGCCCTTTGTTGGACATGTTAGCTGGCATATTCTTCTATAATATTAATCTGCTTCAGTTCTCTTCAGTTTGCTTTACAGATATGAAGAAAAATGGGTACCTTGCTAATTAGTTTTAGTCCAGTAACTAGTAAGGCAGAAATTTCACTGATGAGACTGTATTTTATTGTATTGACTGGGGAAAAAAAGCAGACCTAAAAATATGCAAAACTGAAAACCATTTGAAGTATATAGGTAAATAAGTTTGACATTAATCATTACTAATTACTATAAATATTTCAGCCTTGCTTTCCTTCTACATAACTAACATTTTTCAGTCTTATAAAACTTCCATCTTTTGAAAACAAAGAGGGATTTCACATTGAGTCAGGGTATGCTTATGTTAACAAGTGATAGGCAGAAATTCTGTACCAGTGACAGAAAATAAGGTGAAGGAAAAATCATGGTTTGGGAAGTTCTAGCTAGCAGTTGAACCTCAAAGAGCAGGACTAACAAAGTGATAGGTTCGATCCATTACTACCTGTTTACTTTGCTTAAATCAGATGCTTGAGGAAATCACAGCAGGTGCCTATGGACAAATAAAAAATGTTCATAACAGCTGATTTCTGAAAAAGTCACAGCAATCACAATAGTCACAGAAATCATTAGAAAAATATATTTCTCAAAAAATCACTTTCTTCATCTTGGATTAGAAGTGGCTGTTGTGATATGGAAGCTGAAAATATCTGCTGTTGGACAGGGCAAGTTACTGAAAATTAAATGTTTAAATAAACAACTTTTACTACTGTAAGATCTTGCAGCAAGATCATTTAATACAGCTGGAATCTGGTGGACTTGACCAGATTCTTCAAAGGCACCAGGAAGATTACAGCCCCGCAGAAATGATGCAATTACATTTTCCCAGTAGGACTTCAAAGTCCAAATTTATCTATTTCCAGATAAATAGTGGCATCAGCTAAAGAAGACAATTATCCTTAATGAGATATTACACTTGCCAGTGTCTCTCTGACTGGATATCTTGAAACAAACATTAATGTTCACTACAGCCCTGTGAAGTTGTTAAGCACCATCAACCCCAATTTCCACAGAGGAAAAGTAAGACACAGAGTTGGAATGGTGAGAGAAACACGTATAGTGAGTCAGTAGCTAAACTAGGAGAAGAACCAAACACCACCTACACCTGATTTGGCCTCTGTCACCAAGGGAAATATGAAAGGAGAACTGGCAAGAGACAAATGAAACAACATAGGCACTCAATAAATACTATATAGTTATTTCATAGTCTATGTCTCCAAGTTCCATTCTCTAAGACCCCTACTATCATTTCCCCCATGCCTTCTCTCTGCACTCAGAGTCTGAATGATAATCTAACAAATCTATTTAATATTCTTCCCATTTCTAATCTTCTATTGGAAAGATTACCTAGTTGACAATAGTGCAACTTCTTTCAATGAAAACTTCTGTCATAATGGAAATATAATACTATCATTACATGATAGGGAAAAGAGTCAGTGGCAATCCAGGAATGTAGGCCCTTCCATTTTTTCTTTCTGTGGCCCTCACTTTCACATTCCTATTTTCTACTTTTTTTTCTTTTTCTGCTGCATGTCTGCTAAGAATCTCACCTATTTCTATTTTTAACATATTACTGATTTTAGCTCCACTCACCTCCCTTTTCAACATTTTTTTCAAGTGTTTATTATTCTTTTACATGAAATCACATTCTCTGAAAGTCTGTTCCCAAGTTGCTCATTTTCAGGTGATTTTTTTCCATGCTTCCTGCCAGTAACGGAAAATTGTCTTCCTTATATTACGTACTGGAGTATGCACTCCATAATTTAGGTTAGTTCAGGCAGGGGTCACCTCAAAATTCTCATTGTTCCAATTGGAAGAGAGACTAGAGCTGATCACACCTCCATATTACTCATGTCTTGTTGATTTGGTGTCATTTTCAAACCCTCCTAATTTTAAATAGAGAAATTTCTTCCTGCTGTAGCTGTACAATCTTATGCTGTCCTGTACTAAGTAACATTGATAACACTGTTCAACTGGGAAAAAAAATTGAGATTTCCTGTTTGGAGGAAAAACGCTCTCAGAAACACAGACAAATTCACTTGACTGCAAAGAACTTATAAAAATTCATCTACAAAATACATCAGAGAAACAAAAGAAAGCAGAGTTGAGTTCTTTTTTACTATGTCACAGGTCAGACTGAACAGTTATCTTGGGTTTTTCTAGCCCTTGGGAAATGGAAATAGAACACAATATGTCGTAGAAAAAAAAATGTGGGCTTTCTGTAGGCTAATTATAGGATATATTTAGTTCAGGCACGAAAATGTTCCTATTTGACTTTTGCTTTGGGTTCACTAATTCTGAAAGTCTCTTCTACCTGAAGACCATTTGGAGACCTCCATGAACAGAATTCCTGACTAACATGCATTACAGTGAGCATTACTGGAGGTGAGAACATGAGCAAAACCCAGAGATATGAAAGCTTCCATACGAAAGTGTCATTGATCTGTGACATATCGAACAAAACACACATATCATCTCTGGTCAACAGGAACCTCCTCTTTCACAGCTCTTCCTTCCAGGAGCAACTTATCCATAGGGCACAAAGGCAGGTTATCAGTGCAGTACTTCCCCTAAGAATAAATGCAAATGTTAAATATATTCTCACAGCCTATAGCATCTCCAATGTTTTTATTGAACAATTGGCAAAAGTGGCTGAACTGCTCTAGTCTGTAGCTTACTGCCAAGTTTGGATGCTTCTGCAAATAGCATAAAAACTGTTCTTATTGACCATCTGGAACTAATGGAGAAACATTGTGGAAATCCTGCGGAGCAATAAAAGGTGATTCAGTTGTGCAAGAATCTTGTCCAACAGCATAAGCTTTCATCAGTAATCACTCAGATTCATATATAAGCCATACACATGTAATAGACCATATCAAGCAGACTACAGTCCAAAGCCAGGCAAAGGGATATTGAAATACATTCCTTAAGGGAGGGAATGGAGCCAGAGCATTCAAACATATTCAAACAATAGTGTCCTTTTGATTAACTCACAGAAACTTGTCATTCACTGACAAGAGGTAGAGCTGCCAAGGCAGCACTATTGATGGAAATCATAGAATCATAGAATTGTAGAATTGTAGAATGGCTTCAGTTGGAAGGAACCATAAAGATCATACAGTTCCAACTCCCCTGCCATGGACAAGAACACATTCCACCGCACCCGCTTGCTCAAAGCCCCAACCAACTTGGACTTGAACATTTCCAAGGATGAGGCATCCACAACTTCTTTTGGCAACCTCTTTCAGTGCCTCACCAACCTCAAAGTAAAGAATTCTTTCCTAATATCTAATCTAAACCTACTACCTTACAATTTGTAGCCATTCGGTATAAAGCAGTCACTACATGGCCTTCTCCACCATTCTTGTAGGCCCCCCTCAGGTACTAGAAGGCCTCAATTAGGTCTCCCCAGTTGTTAGGCTAAACAATCTGCTCAGCCCTTTGTCATAGGAGAGGTGTTCCATCCCTCTGATCATCTTTGCGGCCTCCTCCGGACTCATTCCGGCAGGTCAAGGTCTTTCCTGTACTGGGGACCCCAGAGCTGGATGCAGTACTCTAGAGACCATGAGATTGCTTTAGTATCTGCTGGCTTTAGGGTATTTACATTACCACTCAGGTGAGCCACACTGTGTAAGAAAGAGAAGAAATAACCAATTAGAAAGAGTATGAAGTTTTTTATTATTTCTTTGCTTTCATTTTTAACATTTATTTGTATAAATAGAGTGATAAAACATGCTGCAAGGGGACAGTGAGGTACACAAAACGTTTTGCTGCTTATATACAGTTAAAAATGTCTGGAATTTATTTCAACTAGACAGAACTACCATAACTTACCATAACTTACCATAACTTATAATTTCAAAAGAAAAATATCACATCAAATTTGAGCTATTTTACATATTCCCTGATACATCACAAGGAGAAAAGAGAGATCACAGGGAGAAACCTTCTACAAGCGAAAGTTAATTCTCTCACACCTAACTGATCAAAACTGTTTAAATTAGGGCAAGACCTGTTTTACATCTCAGGAGATCAGAGGAACAATTACTGCTTTCCTATCTAAGAGTTAAAAAATTTCCTTTTGTGATTTTAAAGATTTTTATATTGAAGTCTATATGTGAAACACACTAAACAAAAATAGCTATAGTATCACTTCCTTGCTTAAATGCATTTTATGATGAAAGTTTGTCATCCTAATCACTAGAATCAAGTGGGACAATTGTGCAAAACCACAGACTTGACCTTTATGCTTTTCCTAAATTGTCCTTGTCCCATCGACTCTCTCTTTTTGGAATAAAAGTGTTGGCTGGAATACAAGTACTAATTATTTGAGAAAACAGCGAGGTTCTGGAACAATATTAAAGACAGAAGTAGCATAAAAAAAGCCCCAAAACCTACTTCTAAGAAGCAGTCAATAAACACTTGAAGTGGCAATGGACTGCACTAGGTACGCTCCACCCACAATTTACCTTTCAGTCTCATAATCTCACTTGTGCATGTCTAGCATATAAACAGACATCAGAGGTTTTTCATCCAGAATAGAGTTCTGAATAGCATATGGTTCCTGATTAATGAGGAGAGCTACAGTGGAATCAATCCTGTGTAGCATATCAGTGTTTATAGTTGTTGATTTATTTGATAAATACTTTTCACTTAAGAATAATATTATTCCACAAACCAGTCCAAAATGTAGTAATAAATGAGAAATATGTCCACAGACCACCTACAGTTCTCTGTGGTGTACTCTCAGCTTTTTTCTTCTATATTTCCTGAAGCTAATGAAAATTCTAGAGAAAAAAACTGCACAAAATATTTTCCAGAAATCCAGGAGGCAGATAAGAGCTGACTGGCTCCCACATTTCCAAGCAATTTTATTCATTTTGGAAATCTCTTCCAGATTTTTTATGCCATGCAGTTAAGCCCTTACTGAGTGAAAAATTCTGAGGAGTTAACCAGAAGTTTATCTTACTAGATAAGGATCTCAGATCCTGATTCTGAGAGACTGCAAAATATTTTATCCTTTCATTTTATAATGGTCTTTTGAACTCTAACACTGCATTCACACAACAACTTCTTATTTAGGTGCTGAACTGGGAACTCTTAGTGTCTGGGAAACATTCTTTAATTATCACAGTCAAAGGATGCAAATTTTAGAGGTTAATTTGATTTAACAGATTAATATGACTTTGATATGAGGCGTCTATCTGTCTTTGATCAATACAATTTAAGAAATGAATTAATGTGTCAAACAACAACTTTCTCATTTCTGGAAAATCTAAAAGGAATAACCTACTTACAAAGAGAATATTTCTTTAGAGTTTTTTCACTTACAATAGTAAGACATTTTGAGGAAGCAGTTTCCACTGGCAAGCTCGGAGATACAGTCTATTAGTCTCTGACTATAAAATTTCAAACTTGAAGACAATTAGAGAAACATTTGAACTGTTTATCATCCCAGCTTTGCACTCACCAAAACATGAAAAACAAAAGAGTCTATGGGAAGAAATAACACTGATAAGTTTAGGGTAACATAGAATTTTAGAGATATCTAGAAATTTAGATAAATAGCTATGGGTTTTATTATTGAATGAAGCAGTTTTTCAAGTCTCAGCTTCATGAATAAAATGAAAGCACTGAAGAAAGATATGACATGTGGGAAACAACTAGATAAGAATTGATACTATCATCACACTTCTATACTAAAATCCTTTGATGAGAATACAGTTCTGACATTCAGGACACTGGAAACAGAAGGTCTTTTTGAGTGATTATTTACATATGTAGGCTATGGACTCTAATACTGTAGGTTTGGATGTCAGAAGGACACATTTCTGACTTGGGATCAGAAGTGACCAGTTCAGATCTCATTCCTGTTTTACCTTCAAGCATTCAAAATGAGTTGTGAGCAGTACTAGTAAGCCATTCTGCAGGGACTCTGCAAGCACTCGTGCACTACCAGAAAGGGGGAATCTTGGGTTTTAATCCATTAACCCGGTAGCAGCAGAAAGTACTGAACAGAAACCAAGAAGGTCAGCTGTCCTCATACATGTGATCTGTAAATAAAAGATTTCAAGCTTTCTGACTGTTTACTTTGTTGGTGAACCAAAATAAAAACAGTAGTAAAAACAAAACAAACAAACAACAAAAAACTCCAAGACCAAAAACCAACCCTAAGCATACATACAGTTACAAAAATATCCAAATCCTCACAGCTAAAATATCAAGAATACACTGAAAATTCTGCTGTAATGCCTCATGAAATCTTACTGGTTTTCATAACCCAGGTTCCTAAGGCTGGAGATTTTTCACGATGTACCATAATCTCAATATTTCAATAAGAAAAATAGCCATAGAAAATATCATCTGAGACTATATTTTTTATTTTTTTTCCTCTAGAATGCAGAAAACATTTGCCATGAAAAGAAAAAAAAAAGTTCATCACATTAAATTTTCCCGTTGAAGAATTTAGGAAAAAAAAGAAAAAGCTATTTTACCACCATCTTTATTGTCAACTGAAGGGTCCCATGTGTTCTAAGTCAAGACGATGGGTAGCAAGGGAATAACAGACTTTTTCTAGAAGGATGAAGATATCATAACTACTGGAACTTTCTATCATTTTTATTCCAATTTTCTGAACAGGACATGCTCTAGTCTTTCACAGGTACAGCCACAGCTAAATAAATTTGTTTACAATAGAGGGGAACTGCAGTCTTGCAACATGCACGCCTTATGCTGGTCCATTTCAAAATATCAGTTCATTCTGAACAAATTTTTGAAGCCTGGTAAAAGAGACAAAAAAAAGCTTCTTTCAAAATTTCTGAAGTCACCTGGTTTGTGTTGGGAAAAACCTTGCATATATTATCTTAGTTATTCCTCAATGTGCTGCATAATTGCAGTCTGTTCTCCTCCCTTTATAATGAATGTAATCAGTATCTGTATATTTTCTTGTGCTTTTATTAGTATTATTAAACAAACTAACACTCAGAGCTCATATTCCCAAAAGTATTTAAGAACATTAGGCAGTACTTGTGTCCATTAAGGACTGATCTGGATGATATTATGGTGCTCATATTTGTTATCACTGTATGAAAAATATTATAGTAATAAACCCACATAGTTTTACAACCGATTCCATTTAATCTCAGCAAAAACAAATAGCTTGTCATGCAGAGTACTTTACATTATTAATCCACTGCTACTAGAAAGTAAGAAAAGCCATAACTGTTGTTCCTCATTTACTCCTTCATGCAGACTGATCTGAATAAGCTGCTTGGAAAACTGGCATTGAGTGAGCCCCTGCAGGCTTGAAGGATCACTTTAAAGGCAGTCACGTACTCAGAGCATTTGAGAGCATTCTCCTAAAAAGATGTTTATAACTATTCAATGAGAAATGGGATGACAATTCAATGACTGGATGTATAAAGTGCCATGAACAAGCAATAAGATGGTACAACAATTTCACATATATCATTATTCTCATTTTATAGGCAGGGAAATTGAGGCATGGCTTCTTACATTTTTGGTCTTGTATGTTGTAGCAAATCTATAGGAGCTTTCTACACTCAAAATCTGAAGTTCTGTGTCCAGCACAGTGATATGTGGATTGGAATACCAGGACATTATTACAAAGTAATGTTGTCATTATCATATAGCTTGTCCCAAGCTGTATACTTTCTTGTGCTGCTTTAAAGTGAGGAGCAGAAGAAAGAGGGCCACTTGGATCTCCTATAAATTCTTCTGTGCCCAAAGATACTTCATGCTTATGAATCCATATGCCTAAATTGTTCTATACCATACTGCTAATAATTTGGGATTCACTGCCTAGTGCTGTGCTAACCACTTGTCTGATAAACACATTTATAATACACTGTGGAGAATTTTATGCTATAAATAGAACTAAGGTTTGCTGTATTATTAGTATCTGTGTTTAATCCAGGATGCTCTTTTGGCAGTTGATCATCACAACTGGTCTACTCTGGCCTCCAATTGAGAGGCCTGGAGACACACCATCTATAACACTGTTGGTGCTTTTGAGAAAGCACGCAGGATCACCCTTGAGGAGAAAAGACAACGTAGAAAGAATCGTGCCTTGCAGAATACACCACCCAAGGAGTCTTTCTGCTGTGCCATCTGCAACCGGACATGCCTGTCTCGTATTGGCCTTTTTAGCCACCAAAGCACTTGCAACAAACATGGGTAGAGCCCTTCCCAAAGCTTCATTCGCAAAGCCTAGCCATGAATCTTGGAAGGAAATGTCTTTAAAACACTCCTCACCTATTATATGATGAAAAAAGTTTTAAAGGGAAGACTGGCCTTGTTTTATTTGTGATCCAAAACCTATGGGTAGCTATAGCCTGATTTAAGCTGGAAAATATATTTGAACTGCACAATTTTGCAAAGCTTTTCATTTGAGATAATAAACCATGCCTTTCACAGTGCATGAAAGTGTGACTTTGATTTTTCAGTTCATTATATAGAAAGGCAGAGCAAGATTCTCTCCGAAGGCTGTCCCTGAGGAGCTTCTGAAGAAAGTTTTTGAGAAGCACCAGCATTTCTGGGAAGAAGGAACTTGCTTTAAGGTCAGGTGTCACCTCACCTGCAGAGACAACATGGGAGCATTAAGACTTTCTCCCTAGTCCCTCATTCTAACCAGGGGATCACAGTCCCAAATTTCTGCAAATTAGTTGGTCCTTGCCTGTCACAAAGACTTTTATCCTATTACAGACTGATATCTTGTTCCTACGCTAATAAGTATGGTTGGAGTAGAGTTAGTAATTGAAATTTATGACTTGTGTACCCTATTTTAACACTTTTCCAAAGACTCATTAAATCTCTTTTATGTGTATTTTTTTCTGCCTCATACTTTCATTAACTGGAAAAAAGAGAATAAAGTCCCATTTACAACACCACTGCAGCCATGCAGGGACCTTGCTTGACTGATGTTCTTCTAATGAATTATATGTATTGTAAACAAGTACTGAAAACTAGCCCAAGGTCCTCTCCATTAATTTTTCATTAATGAAATGCACCACTTAGCTTGTTTGACACTTAAGTGATTCCCATAAATTTAAAATAGAGGTCACTGTAAGGAAAGTATTTGAAAGTGTCATTGAGGGAACAAGCTAATGAACTATTCACCCTTCCCCAAGTGCTTTTAAATTCACATGCTAGTCAGTTGTAAAATTTGAAAACTAGTAATATTTTAATTCTTAAAGTAGCTGCCAAGATTTAATGAAAAAAATAAGTACTCTAATAAGTGAACTTTTGCTCGGGGGCTTTTTCTTCTCTTCTGCTTTCAGCTTTTCTCTCCTTTTACATTCCACGGCAGGAAAATTCTTATGCCTTATTTAGCTTAGTATCTCATGAAAAAATTATACCTATATAAGAGAGGAGAAAAGGAAAGAGTGGACTGTAACAGCTTGCTTCAGTTGATTGCAATTGATGGTGGGGCATGTGAGGCCACTGTTAATAGACAATCTTTCACGTTGCAGACAGAGGAGAGCTCAGTCATACTCTTTGACACTACTTTCTCACAGGAAATCTCTGCAATGCAAGCCTTGATCCAGACATATCGGACATAATTTCCTCCTAGTCAGCAACATAAATGCTAAACAACAGTTTCTCCCAGCTGTATTAGTTAGGTCACTTCGTGATGGAGTTACAACTCTACAATTAGGTAACAGAGCTGAATTGCAACCCTCTGGAGGCAAAATAAAGCTGAAACGTTGATGTTTCCCTCCAGATCAAAATTTGTCTGCGCAGCCAAGCAAAAAAGACCCCAAAACCCAAACTCAACAGCAATAAAACAACAACAAAACCAAACAATACAACAACAACAACAATGGGAGGAAAACACAAGTAACCAGAATCCACCATTTGGGCAGAAATAATCCCACCTATGCTGAAAACCTGTCTGCTTCATTTGTTGTGAAGCTTGGCATGTCAGAGTACAGCCCCACAACAGGCAGTCTGAGGCAAGATCTGTGCACCACAGACTGTTTTGCTGCAAACGTGCTGTGCTTCCAGCAACCTAGTGCAGAGATTTTCACCCAGGAGGCAGAAGGGACCATTTCACTGAGATGTCTCCTATTTCCACTAAGAATCTGTCTTTGGCACAAAGTAAATCTGATGGATGAAGCCAAAAATACCATGGTCCTTCCTGTGGATTTTCTTAAAAAAAAGAAAACACCAAAATAGAGAAATATGTAGACTATAATAGTTCAATTTTGAGGGATCTATGAGAGTCTTTACTTTCTTATTAAATAAATGTTTGCTAATGTCAAGTATGAACCTACCCTTGCACAGCTTTGAACCATTCCCACCCATCTTGTTGCAGGATACCAGAGAGAAGAACTCAGCATCTCCCTCTCAGAGAGCAGTGAGATCCCTCAGCCTACCTTTTTCCAAACTAGACAAGCCTGGTGAACACAGCTGCTCCTCATGGGACACTCCTTCCAGCCTTGTCACCAGCACTGTTGCCCTCCTCTGGACACATTCAAGGACCTTCACATCCTTCTTAAACTCTGGGGCCCAGAAGTGCACACAATACTTGAGGTGAGGTTGCACCAATGCTGAATACAGTGGGATGATCACCTCTTCTGACCATCTGGTTACATTGTGTGAGTGTTTTTTCTGGAACTTTGACAATGTTATATTTAGAGATCTGTAGTGTCCTTTATATTGCATTGCATAGCACTGAATATTTGGAAGCTTTCCTTTTCAAGAGTTGTAAAATTGGGATCTTAAAACACTTGAAAGCTGATGTACTCTGGATCACACCCTAATTTGTGCAAAGAAAAATCATATTTTAAGCATTCCAATTAAGTAGAGCAAATAAAACCCCCTAGACTACTTTCTTTGCTTTTCTTGGTATTCTCAAATTCTTTATTCCTTATGCAAAACTTTGTTTTGCATTGCTGTTGAATATTGATAATTTTTTTCTCATCTTCCATCCAAGAGCATTCTATATTGTTGCACGTTTTAATTGCTGGTAATTATATTTAAGAATACTGAGAATAATTTCTAAGTTGTATCAGATACAATATGATCTATAAGTGAAAGAAATTTTGATGAACCCTTATTCAACTCTGATTCAGTTCATATGGTTTACTTTAGGTTTATTTGCAAGAATTGCAGTTCAAGCATGGTTAATGCCTTTTTCCCCTACAATTTGGAAATACTGAGGTATAAAAAGCTCAGAAAACAGATCTATTCTCTCTCATACTTAAGTTTTCAAGATATTTTGCCATCTTCAGCAATTTTAACACTATTCAAAGGCAGAAATCATTAGCAACTAAAATCAAATGTCTCGAGAAGTTTGTGTATAAAAGAAGGGTCACAGGAACAGAAAATTAGGACACTACTTTTGCCACAAAAGTAAGGTAGTAAAAGTGCAGTCAGCTCTCTGGGGAGGCATAAATTTCATCTAACAGTGAAGCCTGAAATATAAGAGTAAGACAATATTCAGAGAAATACAGTAGAAATTATTGCCTCTCACATTTAGTTGTCACAAATTAATCTGTCTTAGGCCACTTGTAAAAAATAATTGAAATATATGAAAAATATTGGTCATTTCATTGGCCCATGCAAAAGCAGCTTCTTGTTCATTTTCTTTGGACAGGTGTCCACCAGCACAGAAAGCCATGGCTGTGACTGCTAATTAGTTCCCTTTCCAGCAATCTCAGAAGTAAATGCATGAGAAAATGCAAGACCTCAAATCAAAGCATTCTCACTTTCAACCCTTCAAGGCAGGATTTAGGTTTTCTGATAACACGGATGGTGGTAATATAGTCCTTACTCATGCTGTCTTTATTTTAGCGTTAACAAATAAAAGTGTTCATAGCCCTGAGGGGCCACTTTTGCACCAGCAATAAATTCTGAAGGCTGTGTACAGATGGTAATGACTATTACGCATTTCATTCTCACTGTAAATACATAACAGGACAATGAAGGCTGATCATCATTAACATCATCATCTGTCTAGTAGCCCAATGCCTTGTGTGAAAGAAGCAGGAAGGTCTTGGCCTTCCTGAGAGCTGAACAGGTGAGTCCATAGAGATACCACAGCCACAACCAGCACTAATTGGCTGCCTTGTTGGCACTTTTGGTAAAGAGTACTAATGAGCAGGAATGAATGCTGAGCTTCCTAAATACAGCTGCCTGCTAAGGCCTAGGTATGAACAAGAGATACTGAGCATATAGAAACAACCTGCCCTGCTACTTTCTGTACTAAGTCTACTCTGATCCTAAACAAAGGACTCTCCTCTTATGGGCTCTCCTCATTGACTTCAAAGGGTTTAAAACTGAAACCACTCTTTTACAAGATCGGAGTACGGGTATGTGATGTGTCTCCCAGGATTGCAGTCAGGTTGCTGCATGTTATCACTATGAAAGCTTAGAAGTAACAGCATTTGTTTATGTGCTTTCCCATTCTGTGTAATCCGCGCAGTGAGGACAGTTATTTGTAAGCATTCAAACAGACTGATGATTTTTCTGTCTCTTGAGGTTACTAAGTATGGAAATGCTACTAGTATGCAGAAATGAAGAAAGAAAAGCTTCTGTTAAGTCACACCTTAATGTAACTTAAGATATAAACAAGTAATACTGCTTATTTTAAGTACATGTTCTGCCTCTGTCCATTTACCTCAGAGTTTTGTAATAAATCTTTCATCACTGTATGAATATCTGTTTACGTTACTCTAAATCTACAACTCTTAAAAGTGACATTACCTTGGGAAAACACGCACTACAAATCACAGTGTTCCCTCTCACAGTTTACCGCACAGACTTAAGGAGAGCAATTTCTTGATGAATGTCTCATATTACTTCATTTAAAGATAATGAGACTCAGTCTGCATATTTGAAAGAAGACTACAGAGCAATAGATTACTTCAGCAAATGCCATTGGTGTACAAAGCCTTACAAATGAGAGCACCCAGCTGGAATTAAAGATGGCTGCCATACCATACAAGTTAGGCAATTTTTATACCGAGTGGTAATTTCTTCAATCAGACTAACTGATACAGTAAAAAAAGAGCATATGAAGCTTTGATACATGTTTTTCACTTGGGTTGTTTGCTGTGTGTACATTTATCACCACTGTGTTTGTAACATAGTTTAATACTATGTAGTAAGCCACTTCAGTGGGGTTTCACTAGCTTTAGCTAAATACACCTAAAATACACCAATTCAAGACATACAACAAAAGAAAAACAAACTTTCTGTGTTTTATTTTCTCCCTTCCAAAGTGGGATATATTAACAGGGATTGGTTATGCTGAAAAAGCAGAGAAACAGTTTAAGGGTCACAGGTTCAAAAATTATTTTTAGAGCAGGTCTTAAGTAGCTTCTTTGCACAGAAGAGAATTTGGTCTATGAGAATGGGCTTGTGGAGCTTGTGTACTGTTTCAACTGTTTTGCATTTGTGAGGGAAGAACTTCCATCTTCAAGGCATTCAATACAACATCCTTCTGTCAATTTCAAACTGACCACCACCAGAAGATATACATTCTATATTAAAAAGAGAGGACTGTACCCCATAGATTCGGTAACAATGTGAAGGATCTGAAAGTTAGTGAGTGCATCCCCCACCATCACCTTGAAGATAAAGAATAAGGTGTATACTATGGAACTTCTCACATTGGAATGAGCATCCACTTGCATGTTATGGTGGATCATGCATCAAAGCAGCTGACAATGCCAGTGAAAGCTGGAGGGATCACGCTTAGTACTTGAAAGCAATACAACTAGTCTGACTACAAAGAGGGAAAAAAAAGCATTGACATTACTGAGAGGTAAGATCTGAGTCTAAACATAAAATGCTTTAGCCTACAGACTTCATTGAAACAAGCCTCTTCCTCAGTAGGGTACAAAAGGCAGACAACAATAAGCACTTTACCGGAAGGAGAGCCAGCATATACATTTTAATGAAATTCAATTCATTCTGTAATTGGGTCACATCAGTAAAAACAAATGCAAATTTATAGGCTTACAATATGTTTAGCAGTTAGAAATGCCTAATAAATCATTTTTGAAAAACAATGGGTTTGTATTCTCACCCCAAACCCCCATCCTGTCATTACACAACCCTACCAATGCCCTAATGAGATCTGCTATCAAGTATCTACAATACATATGCAACTAAAAGCAAGATGTTACACAAGATCTGTTTTAGTATAAGCTGCCTGCACTGATGGGAGGAGGTAAGGACATAAACTTGATTAAAAAGGTAACAAGATGAGTACTTGAGAAATTAGTGCTTTTGTTTCATTAGAAATTAGTGCTGATGTCATTCAGTAGAAAACTACCCTAGAAAGCCAGGGATGATGTGGGGTTTGATTCTAGAAAAAAAACCACCAGCCCTACCATACTTTCAAAAGAGAGGAAGAAATCACTCAAAGGCCTTTCAAATGGATTGTTTTTAACAACCAGATGGAAATCCAGTTTCTCTAGACTTTGGAATGTAGGTCTCAATGAAGCAGAAAGCATTTTTCTGTGATCAAATTACTTATGGAAATGTTCTGTATTAATTTAACAGGATTATAAGCAATTAATGTGGAAGTCTCCTGTTCTGCCATGCTTGCAAATAGAAGCTGAACTCTGTGTTTGAATTTATTCCATCAGAGACCAGTACTTCTTGGAAGGTTCCAGTGTTTTCATTAGCACACTACTTTCCTATCAGTCTAATCACTTCTAACAAGTGCATAAAGCCTGGGTAAGTAGCTGAATAAGGGTGACGTCCCTGCTGAGAAAGTTGCAGCAATATGAGGCTGCTGTACTCTGAAGGACGATGACCTCAGCCAGCCTCCTCTGTGCACATCCGTGACATGTGCCAGGGAAGTTAGATCAAATCAAGCCCCAGTGTGGACTCTGTGCCCTTTACCTACCTGGGATACACCACTGAACTCCTAAATGTCAAGTCACTTCAGTGACACTTGGTCCATGCCCATAAAAACACAGTAACATTGCTGACTTCCTTGCTAAAACTGCTTCAAAAATTACTTGTGAAATGCACTCTAAGGCATAAATATTATCATGCTTGAAGGGAACAACTCACATGGAGAGTCAAGCCAGAAGTTTCTAGCAGTAGGTTCAGTAAAAATGCTATTAATGATGGTATAAGTGCTCCATGTTTGGGGATTGCTTTGGACACTGTCAGATAATATCAGGTAACTTAAGGTTATAAACACTCAAAGTTATCGTGAAATAAATGACAAGAAGTTTTCAGATTCATCTAAATATATTGATAAATATATATAACCTTATTCATTTAACAGTAAAACTAGATGTAAAGTTGATGCATGTGCATACACTGTCAGACCTCTGCCTCCAGTTTTACTTCAGTGAGTTTTCCTGTGGATTCACAGGATATTCTGAACACTGGGGGGGGGGGAAACATGTGGAGACAGGAAGTTGTATTTGCAGAATATTGCTCAGTGTCCAAGTGGAGACCAGTGAGTGGTGTTCCTCAAGGGTTGGAACTGGGAACAGCTCTGTTTAACAACTTTGTTGGTGTAATGGATAGTGAGAGGCATTTAAGATAAATCTGCGCAAACAAGAAGCAAAATAATTTAAATGCATGTTGATAAAGACAAGATGTTAAAGAAGGTAGGCTTAAAGAACTGTATTATTCAATGTCTCTTTAGAGAATAGTCAAGTTCTAAGATGGAGAAACAGGTGAATGTTCTAAGGAAAAGGCTTACATATATACAACTTGGGAACAATTCGTGTAGTCTACAGTTTTGATGGTTCTACAAAGTTGTGAGTTACATCCATACACAAGTTGCAATATATGTACATGTGTTTGTGTGTGTAGATATATATATATATGTACTCATTGAGCCCAAGTTGAACAACTTCTACAAGAAAGGATAAGCAAGTCCCATTTTAGAACACTGAAAATTTAATGATCAAGGTATTTAGGAGGAAACTAGACCTAGTGTCAGTTCTCTTCTTTAGAGAAGATAAGGAAGAATGGATTGACCTTGGGTGTCCCACAGCTGACACAACTTCCCTGAGCGTGGTTCTGTTGGGTATAGCGTGCATATTGACCCAGGCTTCAGGGTGAATACCATGGAACATAGTCTGAGAAAACTTGTTGGCTCAAATCCTCAGATCACATAGGACATCATCTCATATCATCCAAGATGTGACACTGTCTGGATTATTGTGTGTGAACTTGCACCAATATATTTTTTTCACTTTTTTGAAATTTCAGAAATTCATGACAGGAACAGATTGATTCACTAATTGCCAGGTAGTAGTCAAATAAGTTCAGGAAATGATAAAGGCTGGTAAAAAAAGTCAGAATTACAGTTCAGAGGAAACAATGCAAATTTACTGTGCACCTTCCAACAGTGAAAGGTCAGAAAGTTTAAAGGCTTACAGTGCACTTCAAATTAATACAAATTTGGTAGCCATACAGAGTCTACACTACTAAGCACAGTATGAACTAAACAAGTCATTTAACTTTCTGTTTTTATTGAGCTTTTTTCCCATAATCATTCATGCGCCCATCCAACTTCCCAACATCATTGGGCTGAGAAACATGAAAATTTAACATGAAAAGCTAAATCTCAGCTCTTTTCCGTGTAAAGAAAAAAACTCCCCAAATCATTTAGGTTGAAAAAGACCTCCATCGAGTCCAGCCTCTGACCAATCACTCCTTTGTCAACTAGACCGTAACACTAAGTGCCACATCCAGTCATTTCTTGACCATCTTGAG